CAGCCATCTGATCTTTGACAAACCTGAGAGAAACAAGAAATGGGGAAAGCATTCCCTATTTAATAAATGGTGCTGGGAAAATTGGCTAGCCATAAGTAGAAAGCTGAAACTGGATCCTTTCCTTACTCCTTATACGAAAATTAATTCAAGATGGATTAGAGACTTAAATGTTAGACCTAATACCATAAAAATCCTAGAGGAAAACCTAGGTAGTACCATTCAGGACATAGGCATGGGCAAAGACTTCATGTCTAAAACACCAAAAGCAACGGCAAGAAAAGCCAAAATTGACAAATGGGATCTCATTAAACTAAAGAGCTTCTGCACAGCAAAAGAAACTACCATCAGAGTGAACAGGCAACCTACAGAATGGGAGAAAATTTTTGCAATCTACTCATCTGACAAAGGGCTAATATCCAGAACCTACAAAGAACTCAAACAAATTTACAAGAAAAAAACAAACAACCCCATCAAAAAGTGGGCAAAGGATATGAACAGACATTTCTCAAAAGAAGACATTCATACAGCCAACAGACACATGAAAAAATGCTCATCATCACTGGCCATCAGAGAAATGCAAATCAAAACCACAATGAGATACCATCTCACACCAGTTAGAATGGCGATCATTAAAAAGTCAGGAAACAACAGGTGCTGCAGAGGATGTGGAGAAATAGGAACACTTTTACAGTGTTGGTGGGATTGTAAACTAGTTCAACCATTATGGAAAACAGTATGGCCATTCCTCAAGGATCTAGAAGTAGATGTACCATATGACCCAGCCATCCCATTACTGGGTATATACCCAAAGGATTATAAATTATGCTGCTATAAAGACACATGCACACGTATGTTTATTGCAGCACTATTCACAATAGCAAAGACTTGGAATCAACTCAAATGTCCATCAGTGACAGACTGGATTAAGAAAATGTGGCACATATACACCATGGAATACTATGCAGCCATCAAAAAGGATGAGTTTGTGTCCTTTGTAGGGACATGGATGCAGCTGGAAACCATCATTTTTAGCAAACTATCACAAGAACAGAAAACCAAACACCGCATGTTCTCACTCATAGGTGGGAACTGAACAATGAGATCACTTGGACTCGGGAAGGGGAACATCACACACCTATCATGGGGAGGGGGGAGGGGGGAGGGATTGCATTGGGAGTTATACCTGATGTAAATGACGAGTTGATGGGTGCTGACGAGTTGATGGGTGCAGCACACCAACATGGCACAAGTATACATATGTAACAAACCTGCACGTTATGCACATGTACCCTAGAACTTAAAGTATAATAATAATAAATAAATTAAAAAAAAAAAACTTAATGAACTCAAAGGAAAAGACTAACATTTCAGGAGGGTTTATTTTTAAATGCAAATAAGCACAAGCACAGCTGCTCTGAAAAGCAATTATATCAGAAATGAATAATGAATTGTCATACATCAATACTTTTTCAATGGTAATTTTTAGAGCTATTCTTATTAAATGAAGAAAAATTGCATATAGAAAAGTAACACATGGTAAATACAAGGGTAACCGAAATAACTGTTGCCCAGAAATTTGGAAACATGGATGAATATACCAAGTTCATATTAAGTAAAAAAAAAAAGTAACTGATTTTTACTGGTTTTTTTCTCTGCTGATGTCTTACATATTTATGATACATCATCAATGGAATTATGGTTTCTCAAGATACTTGTGAACATGAGGTGTATGACTAAGACAAATTCATAAAATGATTTTATTGTGTGCATGCATGTGTTATATAATTGCCAGAATGTTTGACATAAAATTGTCAAGATTAATGACTAAAGGCAATGTTTTGAAGATGTTCAGTTAATTTTGGACTTAATATAATTCTTAAATCCTATTTGGAAATGTTTAGCAATGACAGAATAGCTACTCTCCTTCAGCTCATCATTCGCCATGAATTACTTTACTTAAGAAGTTAAGTTGGAAACCATGCTGGTGTCAGTGATTAAGCCAGCCATTTGTGCACATTCCCACAGCATCAACGATCATCTTCTGAACTCTCTGGAAGAAGGATGATTTGTCACTTGATATTGAACAGATTCTTTGAAATGTAAAATGCAATAAGTTTATTTCATCTAAGATAAAAAATTAATCTTAGCTCACAAGCAAAGACGGAATCGATAGTCTTTTCATCATCTAAATGCCTTCTAGAATGCTATGTAGAATAAAAGTAGTAACTGGAAAGTATGACTTGGTTACTTGATTTCTTATGAAATTACGCCTTTGGGAAGCTCCTTCGTCAAGGATTTACCTGGCAAATACTTCTTGGCAGAAATCACCCTGTGGAACTTAACAGGATTGCATGAATGACATGTCTAATATTGTGGAGTTAAGAAATAAAATGTTAAGAAAAGTCTCAGGATTAAAACTTTCTGGCAGTGACCTCACACTGTTAAATCACATAATATGACTAGGTAAGTCAAGAACCAGAAACAAAAGATACTTTACGCTGGCACAGTCCAATTCCAAAACTTAAATGTAACTTTTAATTAACTTAAATGTAAATGTAGCTTTGTGACTATTTTTTCCAGTTATAAACTGAATAAAAGTAAGCAATGCTGCTAGTTAAGAGATTGAAAATAGAATTCTTCATCCTGTGAAAGCACACCATAATGCAATGTATAAGACCTGGCATCTTGGTGTAGAACATGTCAGTTTTATTTTTCCAAATTAAAGATATTAACAATGTTGGAAGATATTTCTATTTTCATATTTTGAGTTTTTAATTTTAACTTTTAAATAGCTTCAATAACACACTTAGTCTTGTTGTAATATATTTATATTTCAGTACTAATAGTTTATATATCTTTCTGATAGTTGAAAATTTTTACAACAAATCAATTTCATTCATTTATGTTACATGCTTTATCCATTAACCCAGTATTTGTCTTTAGCTCTAAAGATGTCTGAGTCAATATCACTTAGGCTAATGACAAGAGAAAAATTTGGAGAAAATCTAACTCATCCTAGACATAAGATGTCTATACTGTATTTTGAAATCACCAGAAATGGGCTTTTATGGTGCTGTCAGAAACTTATTAATTTTGATGTTCAAATGTGTTTATATATGTGCATTTTGACTATGTACATATATAGGTATATCATATATATCTTAGCTTGTTGAACATCTATATCTTTAATAATGTATGCCGCATCGAAATGATATAGATATGATACTGTATGCTATACTAAAACCATAGTCTAAGAGAAATGTATGTAAAAGACAAGGGCCTTTCCAAGAAAATATCATAGTCAAATAAGACATCAACTTTCCACTAAAATCGCCATTTACTAGGTCAGGATATGTATACTTATTTGGAAGAAGACACAGCCATGTGGATAGAAAGGTTATGAAGTTCTATTTCTTATAATTATTTTAAAGAGTCTGAGATTATAATATTTCTCATATGTAGAAATAATATTCACTTAAACCTTTCTTAATGTATGGAACACATTTGAATATGACATTCATTTAATTAAACTATATATTTAGAGTTTCCTTGAATGACTTTCTCTACAACCTGACTTCAACAGATAATTGCCAATTCTGCGCATCCTTTTATAAAACTGACTCCTAAATACAATTAATTAGTAAGTTTTGAAAAACTCCCACATCTCAAGGATGTTTTATAAAAAGGCAAAGTTAATGATTTCAAATCTTAATTTATATTAAATCAAACTATTCCCATCATGTGCTGAAAGAATTACCTTGCTTTAAAAATTGGAGAAACAGAAAATATAGCCACTCGATAACCACTGCATCACTAACCTTTATAGTATATGACCTATTGTGCCATTTAGGGTCATGATCCCTTTATTCATTCTTATATAATATATCCATTGCTCCCATATCTAGAATGATCTATTTAGAGGCAAATGCTATTCAAGTACTGTTCTACAGAAATAGAAAAACACAATGTCATGGTGTTTGGAAGTGAACTGATGATGCATTGCACTAGCATATAGAGACATCGTTCCCATAAAACTTGTAACATTATAGTTCAGGGACTATTTAACCTTTATTACAAATCATTTTTATTGTCCCAATAGAACTCGAAACACTTTATTCTTTACATTTCTCTTTGGCACTGTGTACCAACTACATTATTATTTTGTCAGGGTGCAAAGAAAAGTCATGTTAAGTCTAATCCATGTGCAAACACTTCTGAAGAGCTATGTAGGAATGTACACATCTCCATCAAATATAGAACATGAAGACTCAAAATTTGTCACTGATGACAGAATATTTATGAAATAAAATGATCTTCTAGACTCTCCTTTATTTTCAGAATTACATAGTTTTCTGCTTTCTCTTTACATGCTATCAGTGATGTGCTTTCAAATAATTCTAATAATTCCGCAACATTGAATAGGGAAAATGCCAGAATAAAACTTACTGCTGCCAATGTGTTTATTTTTCATACTGTCTATTTGTTAGTATTTACTTCTAGGTTTATCTGGCATAACTCATCAGAAAAAACATAAAGTTAATTTATTTCTAACTTTAAAAAGTATTTTTTGGTAGGGACTTAAGTTCATTTACATTAAAATGTATCTTCTGAGGAAATTGGTTCTTCATCTTTTGCTAGTTTGTTTTGTCTTGCTATCATGTTCCTTATTCTTTTCTTTTTACAGTTTGCCAAAGACAAAATTATCAAGGGACATAGTACAGGGAAAAGGGGAAACAAAAGAAATACAATATAAATTAAGTGCTTTAAATTCCAGCGAGAAAATAAAAATGATTTGTGTTAAAGGTTAAATAGTCCCTAAACCATAATGTTACAAGTGTTATAGGAATGATGTTTCTATACTCTTGTGCAATGCATCATCAATCTACCACCAAATACCACTGACATTGTATTTTTTTTTTTTTTAATCTCTTAAGAACAACATTTTGGTACCACTTACCTCAGAGACAGTTCTTTTGGAAATTATAAATATATTTCTTTCTGGGATCAAAAGAATCCACATCAAAATGAAAGATGAAGTGTTGAATCTGAATTCACAGCTGCTTTATGCAATCTAGAAAGAGTACGGGATTTCTCATTTTAGTTCACTTCTCAAAGCTTTGTAGATAGAAGCCTGAAATGATATATTTAAATTTTTAAAAATATTCTTCTTGTCTGGCTGTGTAAATGATTGCAATCAATCAGATTTTCTTTGTTCAAGAAAAAAACATGAAATTACAATATGAATATTTTTCACATGTAATTTTAGTTATACAGTGGGCAATGACTGACAGCTTAACAACGTCCCACTGTGGCAAGAATAATGCGTTATTTTCGGAAAAATATTTTTACTTAAGAAAAGTTAAAAAAGTCTCCTTGGAAAACAGTTTTGAAGGTCACAAACGTATATTTGGAGTATATTATTTTACAATTTCATAAACTAACTTTTAAAAATGTATTAAGATCTTATCTGTTACAAAAACAAAAATCTGCAGCAAATTCGTGGCTGTTTATAATACGCAAACATTTCAGAGAAGTATCATTGCCTATTTCAAAAGTGTTACATTAATTACAAAACCAATTTTAAATATTGGAAAAATAATTATATTAAAAAAATAAATTCCAATGGCAGAATAGATTATTATAATCAAACGGATCCTTTTTCTGCCATTTTGAAAGAAAAGCTATGTTCACTGGACGTTTTATAATTACACTGTTTCTATAAATCAAAAACTATATTGTGATTTTGCTTGAAGATTCCAAAATGAGTTCAATTTTCAACTGTAAATGTACAATATTTGATAGAATTTCCCCCTTTGAGTTGGAGATTTCACTGTAAAACTTTATCCATAAAAATTTAGTATAAATATTATTGTAATCAAATATTATACAGAGTTTGAGAGTGATGTCCACAAAATGGTAAAACAGAAGGTCTCCTGGCATCACTCCTTTCAAAAGAGTACAACAGGAAACTATTCAAACCAAAAATCAAGGAAGTAGTGGAGAAATCCCTGGGTCCCTGGGGAGTTTAGACTTTATCTTACATCCAATGGGAAGCTATTTACAGGTTTTAAGCAAATGATTATGTCTGTGTTTTAAAGGTATTATAGTCTAGAGGCTTCATGGAATTACATGATTTATAATTTATAAATTTATCATACATAACTGATTAAAAGCAAGCTTAGAAGCATAAACTCAAGTTGGAAAAGATGGGTTTGACATAAAAGCTTAAATGTGTTTCATTTGTTTGCTTGTTTGTTTCTAACACAAGTTTAACCTATATGTGAGTCACCTTTGGATTGGTGAGTCTAGAGTTTGATGCAGACAATCTGGGCACAGACATTTAGAGAAGGTCAGTCCACAAATGATGCTTAATGATCTCTGGGTGATGATCACTTTCTCTCCAAGGAGAAACTGCATGGAAAGAAAGGTCCACATACACTCTGCAAAACTTAAAAATGGTCATATAAGAGGAGCAAGACTAAGACTCACATTTTCTCTATCTTGAAAGGGACAGAAATAGCCATATACATAGGAATAAATCATGTTTCTTATACTTATTTAAGGAGTCCAAGGATAGAAATGATTTGCCAGGTAACCATTTAGTGCTTGCTGCATTTATAATGTGTGAATTTGACAGAGAAGCCTGAGATGTAGGGGAAAACCTGGAGAGTGAGAAGAAGGTTCTCAAGAAGTAGTGGTTGACTTGGTCAATGCTGAAAGATCAAGAAAGTGAGAACTCCAATTGGTCATTTGGATTTGGCTACGTAGTCACTAGTGACTTCTGTAAAGAGCAGTTTCAGTGGAGCGTGGGGACAGGAGACCTACTGAAAATGCATCAGAGCGTGAAGAGGAGGTAGGGGAAGGGAAATAGCCTGTGTGGGAACAAACAAAACAAACAAAAATGTTTTCAACAACCCTCCTTGTTTGATACTTCACCCTTGCAAACGTCTTACCTCAGATCACTGCGCTCATACAAAATGTAAATCAAAGGCAATTATGAATGACTCAAAGCCAGAAGTTCTAGCAAACACATTATTTAGGTGGCAGGATCGTGATGTAAAATGATCCCCACAGGTTGGAAAGATACAAATATAGGTTAGCTTTTTTTTTCATGTCAGTTTTCCAAATTCACCAATGACACTCCCTGCTATTATTTTTGATATTTCAAGGATTCTACATAAAAATATTCAAAAATCTACCTTCATAATTCTTGGTCTTCTGAACTCTGATAATTTATCTTTATTCCAGTTAACATACTTTCATAGCATCAACAATAGTAATAATGGTTGCCAGTTCTAGATTTCTACCATTTACCAACAATAACCCAATTAGTTTATTAATTTAATCCTCATGGCATAAATTGAGGTTTAGATCATTTGTGCAGATACGGAAGTTGGCATTCACAAAATTAATTAAATTGCTTAAGCAATTTATTTGTTTTTACATCAAATTAAATTATTTAATTGTTTTTACCTAGAATGTTTCACCTCTAAAACCCACAAATTCTTAAATTTGGATCAATTCTCAATACTGCTTCTTCATATGCCAGGCTGCTGAGTACAACAGAGAAAATCACACAGCTGGCTAGATGAATATCTAATTTATCCTATGTATTCATACTACAAAGCACTATCAGAAATTTCATCTGGGTTCTTTCTTTTTTTTTGGTCACTTTCTCGTTTCTGCTCTGCCATGACTCAAACACTTCTCTGTTCAAACATCTTACCCAATATCCATTATAATCTTCATTGTCAACAACTTCGTATCCTATTTTACAGAGATATTTGAGACCAGCAGATTTAAACTTGCTTTAATATCTATCTTTATCTTTATAAACAAATGTATTATTTTCCCACGTTCATTTTTCTCTCCTTTGTTCCAGGCTGAAAGAGAAAATTGCCCCATTCAGAGTTTAAGGTTATTCTTTCTGTGATTTCCATCTGAAATATACTTCTTTAGACCCATTCTTCACTGAGAAACTACAATCTGTGCTTCAAAGCCCTGCTTACATTTTCCTTTTGTGAAATATTCTCTGACACAGGAATTTTCGGCACGTTCCCCAAACACAGTAATTTTTCTATAATGCTAAGGCTGTACCTGTACGCACATTCATCGTACTTACAACTGCATGGTTCATGAGGTGGGAGGCAAACATGGTTGCATATTAGGGAAAAAAGTTTCCCAACCCCTTTTGCCACATACTGTGATTCCATAGGATTGAGACAGGACTTAGAAACTGATGATTCATAAATATTGCTATGTGATGATAATGATCACCCTGGGTTGGAAACCGCTGAATAGTGGAAGGAACATAGGTCTCAGGTCTGAGGGAAACAGCTTTAATTTCAGCTCCGAAACTTAATAGAAGAATGGTTTTCCACAAACTTCTCAAATATCTGACTCCCAGCAATAAATCTTGTCCTGTTTTCCAACTATGTTGGGATTTCTACCACGTCTGTCTTCCCATTTCTATCAGTAGCCCTAGTCATCATCATCTCTCTCACCTGGCCTATTGCAACCCCCTGATCTGATTCACACTTGCTTCCTCTATTATATTTTCTCCTTCTAGAACTGAGAGACTCTTTTATGGAAGAGTTATATAATGCCACTTCTCTCCTTAAAAATCTTCCAGGAACTTCCTCCGACATGCAGAGTATAATCCAAATTCTTCACAATAGCCTATATGACTGTATAACTTGCTGTTACAAATTTCCCTTATCCTATTCCTGTTATTCCTTTGATTTCTCCTACTTCCTTTTCAATTGTTTATTTCAACGCAGCCATGCTGGACTCCTTAATGTTCCTTGCTACACTAGACAAGGTCAGGCCTCAGAGTCCTTGGATTTAATACTGTTTCTGTGTAGACTGTTTCCCTGCAGATATTCATACAACTCTCTTCTTTCCTTTATTCAGATTTCTTATCAAAATCATCTCCCCTAAGAAGTCTTCCTGGCAAAAGAGTATGCACACGTTCTACTCACGCTTACTCATCACCACAAATCACTGACTAATTTTTTAAAAAATTTGTTTTTGTCAATTTCCCTGACAAGACAGGAAAACATGATGTGAATTGAAGACAGGGAATTCTGGACAAGGAGTGCATGAATGGTTCTCGTTGCTGGATGAGGAAACATTGGGGAAAAATAGCAAGTGATTATATTCCATCCTGACCAACAGGGTCACTCGCGGTGGTGCTGAGACCTTAGCAGCCAAAAGCCCAGAAATAGGATCTGATTTCTTAGTGCCTGTGGAAGGCATCAAACCAGGAAAAGTGATGCAACCTTCTCAGTAAGGAGACTGCAATATTTGTACTTCCCTGAATTGATTTGCAAAATGTTCAATCACAGTTTTCCTTCTGTGAGAACAACTGTTACTGGGACTAATACAAACAAAACTTTTTTCTTTTGTCCTTTATTTCCTTTTTTTTTTTTTTTTTTTTTTTTTTTAGATGGAGTCTCACTCTTTCGCCAATGGTTCTTGGCTCACTGTAACCTCCACCTCCGGGGTTCAAGCAATTCTCGTGCCTCAGCTTCCCGCGTAGCTGGGATTACAAGTGCCTGCCACCACGCCTGGCTAATTTAAAACTTTTTTCTATATTTAATTTTTTTTTTTCTGTATAGTCTGCTTTCTATATTAACAAGCACTGTAATTAGATGGAGCAAAATTTGTTTAGTGTGATCTGGCCATAGCTAACTGGTGGTATTATGGTGAAAAGCTGTATCATATTTTTCCAATTCCATTTCTAGTCTCTAAAACCATTTCTTTCTCACACAGTGTGTTTTCAAGACAGAAGTTAAGTGTTTTTGAGTCTGGTTCTAATAAGCCTAAAATAACATACCAATTATTTTGATTAAAGAAAAAGGCCATGGGTCATTTTCCTCATTAGATTATGTCAGTTATGGTATTGCTGAACATCTATTATATTTTCTCCCAAATAAAAATGGACTCTCTCTCGTTTTATCTTAGTGTTGAATAGAAAAAGTGCGGTCTAGAAGCTGTTATTAGTTTTCCTTTGTAAAATGTCTCTCAGTTAATTAGAATTGTATCCGTTTATAAATATTTCATTGCAAATTTATTAAATAAGCTTTAAGGCTTGTCACAGAGGTGAATGGAGATTGTCTAATTTAAGCCTGAATTTTTGTCTGTAACACTGCCTTTGTCTGGTGACACAATTTTGTACGAGCTTAATGAAAGTGAGTTTAGCTTGTTCTTTTGTCCTTTTGTTGCATTGCCATGACAATGTTTCATACAGAACTATATTGTCTTTTACTTCACCCTTTACCACTTTATTATCTGTTCTACCTTTAAATGACTTCTCTATTAATTTACACAGTTATCCATTGTGTGTTGGTGTATGCCACCAAAAAACAAAAGCATCTAAAAATATGATTACTGCATATTCATTGGTCATTCATTTACTTTCCATGTGGAATATTTAGGTGAGGTTCATAAGAACTGGAAGACTTATCAGCTGTTTCAAAAAAAGTATATAATAAGTGTGCCAAGAGACATTACCTCATAGAAATAAACCGTGAATGTTTGATGTCCCCTCCAGTTTACTCCTGTACTTTAGTACACATCATAATGCACGTTTTCAAGTTTTTTTAATTAAAGTGACTGAGCATTTTTCTGTCATTTCAAAATACCATATTCAGCATAGTGATTATAGGGAAATCATTTGGAGAAGGCAAATGACTCTGAATTCTTTCTAGTCCTGGCTAAAATGGACTTTAATAACCTTATTAAAGTCAGTTTAACTCAAAGGGTCTCAGTAAATTATTATTTTCTTTTTCTTTCTTTCTCCAGGTTCAAGCTGGAGTGCATGGCACAATCCTGGCTCACTGCAACCTCTGCCTCCTGGGCTCAAGGCATCCTTCCACCTCAGCCTCCCAAGTAATTGAGACTACAGGTATAAGCCACGACGCCTGGCTATTTTTTTGTCTTCTTAGTAGAAAAAGGGTTTTTCCATATTGCCCACGGCATTCTCAAACTCCTGAGCTCAAGCAATCCACCCACCTTGGCTTCCCAAAGTGCCAGGATTACAGGTGTGAACCGCCACGCCTGGCCAGTATTCATTTTTTGTGGGGGAGTGAGGGGTCAGTTTTCTGACCCATGAAAGCAGATATTGAGAGTTTGAACATTTTTAATTTAAAATAAAGTTTTATATAAGATCACTTTTTGTTAATAACTTAATTGTTCCTTGGATGCTGTAGATTAAAATTTTAAAGACCATCAAGATACAACTTTATATACACCATGTGCCTTATTAGGTGATTTGGTCAACGACAGCCTACCTATACAACAATGATCCCATAAGATTGTAATACTATATGTTTTCTGTACCTTTACTATGTTTAGTTACATAAGTATTTACCACTGTGTTACAATTGCCTACAGGATTCAGTAGAGTTCATGCTGTATAGGCTTGTAGACTAGAAGCAATAAGCTATACCATATAGCCTAGGTGTGTAGTAGTCTATACCATCTAGGTTTGTGTAAGTACATTCTATGATGTTTCCACATTGACAAAATCGCCTAACAATGCATTTTTCAGAATATATCTCCATCATGGAGAGACATGACTGTCCTGCCTTTTGTTTGTACCACTGTGTTCTTATTCAAAGAAAAATATACACATTACACACTTTAAACTCTTCTTCACACTCACGTTAGCAATTAAGAATGCAGGAATGTACAGTACATGCACTAACTGTGCCTTGACCATTTGCTGACCTGATACATGACTTAATATCTTAATATATTTGATCTCACTTGAGGAAATCGAGTCTGGAAAAGAAAATGTGCACTTAATGTAAATAAAATTATATTAAATGTTTCTTCCTAGTTTAAAATAATTTTTCAATAAACCAGGATCCCTTAAAATTTTCTCATTAAACATTGAGCTATTTTTCTTTTATTAGAAATTACCTATAAAAATAGTGGCTGTCTCTCTTGATTAAAAATGGATTGGTATAATGATATACTATTAGATCTATACCTTTTCTATTCTGTTTTTTCCTAATTTATAGAATAATCATGACTATGATATCAGGAACAAAAATGACCTCAAGAACAGGTGCCTAATTGGGAGAAAACTTGACACTTCCCATTTCCACTTTAGGAGTTAAAAAAATCTACACATTCAGTTATTTTTATAGTTAAAAAGTTTAATTTTGTTTAAAATACCACAAAGTATAAAACATGATCTGAATATTGTTAAAATGTCATGCAAATTAGAACCGTGCTTATTCAATTTGAATCAAGATATATTTAAATCATTTTTTCATAAAATTATTGAGATTATTAATATGTAGTAACCTAAATCATTTTTATAAAGTGATAATAAAACAGATTGTCCCAAGAGATTGATTTTGTTATAGCTGCATCTAAAGAAACTAAAATGCATTGTGGCAGGAAGGACTGGTGTCATTTATAGTGACATTCAAGTAATCTGGGGGTGATAGATGCTTGACTCTGCTAAATTTATGCTAGGATTAGCACCATTTATCTGCTTTTAGTGTGTTAAATACTCAATGAAATATGTGTTTATAAAAGTAATTCTGTGTTTTTCAAATTTCATGACACTTTTAATAAAACTGTTAAATTAACAGCTTTATGGGGTTATAACTGATATACAAAGAACTACACATATTCAATATGTAAAATTTGATGAGTTTGAACATACACAAACACCCATCATATCATCACCACAATCAAGGTAATCAACGTATCCAGCACATTTTAATAGTACGATAAAGAGTACTCCGCCTTTTAAGAGTCCTGGTAGTCTCAGTGAAACAAAATCTCTTGATTTTCAACATTCCTCTAATGTATCAGTTCTTTCCAACTGAGATTTACCAAGCAATGTCATTTTGTGTTGAATTACCATGAGTTTTTAAAAGATGCTAAATGAAGTAAAGTATGTTAGAATTTGATTGCCAATCAAGACTTTGATATGCGATCTGAATTTTTAGACCAGTGGTTCTTAGGTTGGTGAGGGAGAGGGGCAGTTGTACTGTGTGGGAGACGCTTGGCAATGTCTGGCAATATTTTAGTTGTCACAATTGCAGGCTGGTGCCAGAATCTAGTATATAAAGGCCAGGGATGCTGCTACATGCCCTACAAGGCACAGGGCAGTCTTGTAGTATCTGGCTCACAATGTCAACAGTGCTGAGGTACAGAAACACTAATTTAGATTAATCATTGTGCTCAAAAGTGAAGAGTGAGCAAAATGTGTTGTTTGCCTTGCGAATTTTGGAGGGAAAAAAAACAAAGCTCCATCCAACCATTCTACATTTCTGACATCTGTGTTACATATGATTGGAGATTCTCTTTCTTCTAAATACTCATTGTGTGCTTCAATGACTGCTGGGATAAGAGCCACTTGTTCCTACAGTAATTGTCACAGGATAGCTGCCAGATGGTAATACTGAGAAGGACAACATGAAAAAAAATTCTATGTGTTTTTTTTTTTTCTTTCTCGTTTCATTCTATCTTCATAGGCTATATAAGTTGTTCTAATGTTTGAAATTTGTTCTACCTTGCTTTAACCAGAAGACATAATTCCTTCATGCAAATGGCACCTAAATGGTGAGCAAACATGTCATGTGAAATTCCTTTAATATATCTGCTCATTATTGGTCCCTATGGACCATTTAACATTATTCAAAGAGGAAAGATTTTTCTTTTCCTTTTTCTTTTTTTTTTTTTTTTTGCCACTAAAAGAAAATCTGGGTAGGCCTATGACTCTTCTGTTCACTCTTGGAGAGTGCTGTGATAACTGCTTGGAGAGTGCTGTGTCATAAATACTATTAGAATGCCCTGACTTTATGATATGTAAGAGCTATGCATTTGATTTAACTCTTCACTGTGACATGTAAGACTGGCTTCAGGCAGGCTGTTGCCTGTGAATAGGCATGACCAGCTTGTTCTCTCTTTTCCATTTGACTTTTTGCAAAGCCTCTCAAATTGAAATTCAGAAAGGGGCATAGTCAGAGGGTAGACTTTTACATAGAGGTGCTGCTCTAGAATGAATCTGCGTTCACTACTTCTGGCAGGATTTTAGCATGGACTTTTACTAGTTACTAGCTTATTTTAAGGTTTCGTGGTGTCACTGAGGCGCCTCTGCTTGGACTCTCTGCTATGACGTGGGCTACAGTCACCCTTCCCCTGAGTACTACTCCCTGTATGCGTCTGATTTTTCAGGGGCCCCATTCATGGAAAACTCTTTGAGTCTCACTGTATACACACATGATACTCTTGAGCAGGACTCACACTGACTACAGGCTGACACTTCCCTGAATGACAAATTATCTGGTCTATAAGAAACATTTACCTATCATTTATCTTGACAGATTCTAGCAGTGAATTTCCTACCAAAGAATTTTGGCAGAATTTCTTTCTTCTTGATGGCTTACCTTCAAACTCCATGAATCACAGATCAAGGTGACCTTTGTGAGTCACCTGTCTCTGGGCTTAAGCAGGTAGCCTCTTTCCGGTCATCCACATTTGGAGAGAATGTCGGAACTCAGCACACACAGCAACAACACTCTCCAGGGTAATCTCTCAGTCTCCATTCTCTCAAACTGATACGCCCAGCTACGCTGAAAACCTGAACCGTTGTAGGCTCAGAACTTACTTGGATAACTGACATTCGTTGTCAACTGGGGCCTGAGTCTAAATATCTAAGATACCATTTGTGATTACTAGAAGAATTCACATCACAATTTGCTCATAAATCAAAATTTCATATTTGGAAAGATGATAGAATGAAATCATATTGATACCATTGTTCTCATGCCTCGTTCTAATGATTAAAAACTGTAAACAACATACGTGCATAAAATACTCTGGAAATTACAAATGCACATATATATGTCTATATACATATATGTTTATACACATATTACATGTATATGTATATGTACACATATTACACGTATATGTGTATATTACACATATACATATGTATATGTATATATATGCATGTGTGCACAAAATACACATATATGTGCATAAAAGATATATGTATATATGTGTATACATATGTGTGTGTGCATATATATATATATATTGTTTTTCTGTTAAATCTTTTACAATAGTGCAATTTTCAATTTTGGTGTGAAGTCTTAAGTAACTGATGTTAAGACAGAAATCTAAGAAAGTTATTTTAAACAGTAATATTTTGGCAATGCAAAGCTATCTAGTAATATTGCTCAGACAATACAAAGCTAGTTCTATTCATATTTGTCCTGCTGATCTGGAAGATAAAACTGATCTCTCCCTGCAAGGGCTGCACTAACTGGAATGAGACATTGTGTTTGTTGGACCTATGACCTTCTTTACAGAGAAAAGCAATTCATAAAGTTAGAAAAGGGCACCATGTAAAATCCAACGCACATTTTGTAGAAATAGCATGAGGATTGCCGAGAGGGGTGAGAAAGACTAAATAATAGCAACAACCAAACCAAAAACAACAAGAAAAAAATCCCTATTCTCCATTGTTTATTCTTGAGAATATGACATAGAAAAAATATGCCTAAGAAAATGTATCGTAAGGGAGAATGTTATTTGTGTATTTTTTCCAAAGGGACATGTTCTTAATTTTTTTTTTGCACTGCATTTATGTATTGTTAATATCTTTTTATAACTTGAATATATTTTAATTCTACAGCTCTGGATCAAGGCATGCAAATATGCTATTTTGATCTTGTATTTTAGTTTTGTCTTTTTCTTAATTCCATGTAGCACACATGATTATTATGAGAAAATGTTTTAGATTTACCTGTATGTTAAACAATTTTATTTTTGTTAACTCTTCGTCCATCTCAGCTTCTTTATAATATTATTTTCCTTTTTCCTGAAGTATGCCTTTGTAGGTTCCTTCACTGAAATTGTTTTGCCATGTTGATGGATCAGTTTTTATTTTTCTGAAAGTGCATTTATTTCTCCTTTAGTCTTGAATACTTGCTTTGCTGGATGAAAAAACTTACTTGATCCTAATTCGCAGGCATAAGGGGCTTAATTTAGAGAGATTTTCTTGTGGAGGAAATGTGTCTCCTGCTTCACCCGAGGACCATGAATTCCTAACAACGCGGTACCACTTTGTCTTCCTTTGAGAGGCCTGGTTAGTGTGAGAACCTCAGAGTCGGCTCTCCACCAAGGATATAAACAACGTTATTAGTGGCGTCTTCCATTTCAGGAAGATAATTACAATCGTTTTTACAAGGAGTATTTCACAAAGGAGTATATTTAAATTTTATTTGATCTGGGATAGAAGGGTATACCTAAAGGTGTTCATGGTATATTGTGAAAAATTTTCTAAATTGTAATTTAAAAATAATAATGTTAACATACTAAAAATAAATCTAATAATCGTAGTAAAGTTTTTAAAGGTTGTCAAAACCTTTTTCCCCTGCCTTCTTTGTACAAGGCTCAGGTGGTAGACTTGTTAAGTAGTGAAATGAGATATTCAAGGGTAATGCCTAAAGCACAGTGGATTAATGACTATTATAACACATAATACTCTTTAGATTGTTGTTTGATCATACATGGGATGACTAGGTTCATGTTAATAATGCACAGTGGTCTTCAGTGGGGGAAGCAAGGGTGAAATTGAGATTTAACACAGAAATTACAGATTTAATAATTAACATCACTTTACTACTCAAAAATTAATTTTCAGATCACAAATTTTTTATCTATTTTGTTCCAATTTTAATTATTGCCTCCAGATTTCTTATGTAAATAAATTCTTATAGATGGTTAGATAATGTACCTCTCATTATTATTGTTTGTCTTAAAATGGAATCAGTTTACAGCTAGAATGACATCATTACCACACTGGATCTTATAGAAGGATCCGCCAGACCTCAGTAGTTGTTCAGAGCTCCAGGGTCTGTCAGTCAGGATGCAGGGTCTAGACAGCCCTCTACCATGTGGATGTAGCAAATTCTGTAACCACTTCTTGCTCAGATTACATGATACTTAAAACTCATCAAGCCAAACTTGAGAGGAAGTGGCTCTTCTGGCAAGATTTCTAGTGATCCCAGAATCTTTGTGAAGAGAAACTCATATTTGTTTACAAAGCTATTATAATATGTATAAAACACTAAGATTTAATTTTATATTAATATTTGTAAGTATATTTTTGTTCTGGCATTTGATTTAAAAATATAATTCCAGAAAGTAAATCTTATAAATAATACATAACAATAGTCATATAAACTTTTATTTTTTTTTTGAGACGGAGTCTCACTCTGTTGCCCAGGCTGGAGTGCAGTGGCCGGATCTCAGTTCACTACAAGTTCTGATTCCTGGGTTCACGCCATTCTCCTGACTCAGCCTCCCAAGTAGCTGGGATTATAGGCGCCCACCACCATGCCCAGCTAATTTTTTTTATTTTTAGTAGAGACGGGGTTTCACCATGTTAGCCAGCATGGTCTCGATCTCCTGACCTAGTGGTCTACCCGCCCTGGCCTCCCAAAGTGCTGGGATTACAGACGTGAGCCACCGCACCCGGCCTAAACATTTTTTAAAAAATTTAATTCTACTCTTTATGGCTGTTGGTCAGAATTGTTAAAATATAAATGTAATAAAAGCCCTAGTACCATCTTATGTCTTATAAAGAAAAATTACTTTTAGCTTTTATAGTGAAGCCCAGCAAAATGATTCAGTTTGCCAGTATTTTTCAAAAACAATGTTAACCTATATGGCCCATAAAAAAAGTAAACTAACAAAATTTCTTTCTTAAAATCTTGGTAACTTCATGGATACATAGTAAGGTAGGTAGGCATTGAGTCTCCAACTTAACCAATTATTTGAAACTTTCCAAAATAGTTTTTTATTTTGCTTTGAGAGATGTGCAAGTTCACCAACATAGAGAAATTCTTCAGTTTTCAATCATTTTAGTCCTTTGTAATAGTACATGGGCATAAATCAGAGCACTTGTATAATAATCGCCTACAGTAAAGAATAGATGTTTCAGCCAGGCATGGTGGCTCACACCTGTAATCCCAGCACTTTGGAGGCTGAGGTGGGCGGATCACCTGAGGTAAGGAGTTCAAGATCGGCCTGGCCAACATGTTGAAACCCTGTCTCTACTAAAAATACAAAAATTACCCAGGCGTGATGGTATGTGCCTGTACTCCCAGCTACTTGGGAGGCTGAGGCAGGAGAATTGCTTGAACTCAGGTGGCGGAGGTTGCAGTGAACCGAGATCGCACCATTGCACTCCAGCCTGGGCAAAAGAGTGAGACTCCGTCTCAAAAACAAACAAACAAACAAACAAACAAAATGTTGCAAAGTGTTTTAAAGAATTATTTACAATGCATAATCTGGCTTCTTACATTAATTTTCTTATTTTTAAATCTAGCCCTTTGAAATTCATCAACTGTCATGTATTATTTTCAGATGAAAATAATCAGTGATTATTGAAAATGGAATTTAAAGTTCTGTGAATTAGATGGGAAACAAAAACTTGCCTTCAGTTTTTACAGATTCCACCAGACTGTGAAATCTGTGATGTCATAGATTTTCTCTATTTTGTTTGCTGCTCTCTCTCTAGCACCTACAAGAGTGACCCACACAGTGAACACTCCGTTTCTGCTTACTGAATAAATAAGAATCTCACATGTGGCCACTGCTCACTTATTCAGCTCAAAACCATGACTCTTTGTGTCACATTATTTTATCACTTCTCTTATTCTAACACCTAGCTTTTATAATGATTTTCCTAGCATTATAGTTACATTTACACAGATGATTTTATTTTAAAAATGCAAACCATTCTTTACAAATGCCACTCGAAGCCAATAAAGAATTAATTCCTTTAAGATATATACTTGCACATATTGAGATTTTCAAGCAGAGTCAGACTTTAAAGCCACCAAATGAAAGCGCTCTTATGTGTGTCTTATCACGGAGGCTGAGTACCAGGATTTTACTTTTAAAATTTTTATGTTGTCTCTCTCCCCTGCTCTTCTAAATAGAAGGGAAAAAAACAGTATGTTGGCTATACAGTCTTTATGTTACATTTTCTCAGAGAAATGTTTAGCAATTATAAATAGAAAGAATAAGAACCCAAAAGCATGACCTGAGTCATCCCTTGCTTGTATTTTTGTGGGAAAGTTGAGTCTCATCCTTTTCAGTTCTGTTGCTAGCCTGGGAAGCTGAAACCACAGTCCCTTCCAAACGATAACCATAATTTTCTCCCTTCTACTTTATTTTCTCATATTTTTCATCTTATAATTAGCAGTTACAAAAACTTTTGGGTCCAAATGTTTTACCAAGTCAGTTAACTTACTTCCTAACCTTTTTGAATAGCCCATTTGAAGTCCGTTAACACTGTGACTCTAAAAAGACTAAATATAAAGTTTTACTAAGATAAGTCATCATGCTGAATAAGTACACAAATATGACCTTTGGTATGGATGTGCACGTAAGCAGTGGGGTAAATGCCTCCTTGTATTTAAAAGTAAAGAATTCTGTACTACAAGTAGAAATCTACCTGCAAAAACACACACAGTCTGGCCGTAGCTACAGGTAGCATGCATGTTCCTTTTACATGCGAGTCAGAAAACCTGATTTTATTATGCTCTGTGTTAATCATCAAGGTAGTGAGGGCAAACCTATTGGGATATTGTGCATTCCTTGCAGAGAAAGCAAAACAAGCAGTTGAATTTTCTTTTCTTAGGAGAGAAAACAATGCGGTCATCTAGAATGACAGATTGTCATCACTGGGGCACGGGAGAGGGGTTGAGCAAGTCAATGGATGTTTTCTAGAGCCTAGAGAATATGTGTGATACTCTGAAGTATATTTTTTCTAAATCCCAGGTGAGTATGCAATGCTAATGTGAGGTAGAGATAATTATTATTGTCATAAGCATTATTACTTAACATGCTTTTCCTCTTATATGCTACACATTATGATATATGCTTTAAAATATTGGTTTGATTCTCACAACAAGCCTGTGGGTTTGGTATTGCTGCCAATAGTTAACATATTTGAAAAAGCTGGAAGAGATATAACTCGTTTCCATAGAATCAATCAACCATTGATATATAAAAGGAGACTAGTTCTTTTAAACAAAGGGAAAGTGTGACTAAATAAAACTTTAAATGAAAACAAGTGCAAAAACGCTATCGGGATTGGAGATATATTTTTAAAAATTTGCTATGTATTTACAATTAAAAAATATATTAATGAAGTATTTTGAATAGAGTTTCCTAAGTCTAATAAGGTTTGCCAGGGCATGAGTGACTAAAATACAAACAAACAGGCTTCTAAACATATTCTCCCTCACTGTTTCATCAATGCCATACATACTTATTAATGGTTTAGAAAAATACACCCTGCTATGGTTTACTGCCAAATAGCAAAGATATAAATTACATCTCCAACATTGACATGCCACTACATTATTAACAGGGCCACGGAGGCCATTGAAACTACACTGTATGCACATCTACAGTAAAGGGCATATTGAATGGTAAGCTTTAGTATTTTAGTGTATTTAATTTGGCACACTTGGTGCTGTTCTTTGTGAATGTTAATCTTTTCAACCAATACAGCAGCATGTCAGTATCTTCATTTGCAGGGTATAATAGGCTTATATCCTGAAACAATAAACTTATAATAGCTTGTCTGTTGCTTGGTGGAGATATGCACATTCAGCATGAACAAGGTGTTGCATGCCCCATTTTTGCTCAAGGTTCTTTATACATGCCCTTCCTTTCCTGTCAGGAACACAAGCCACATTTATAAGTTTTTGCTATAATACCAACTGCATAGTTTGGAAATTTTCCAGTGTAGTACAATTCACTTTCTTTTTCCATTATTGATAAAATTATAACTAGGTACATCTATATTTGAAATGTGAAGTGAGCATTAGACTGATTTTTAATGTCACATTGAGACTGATTTCTTTTTTTAGGACAGAAGATTTGGAAAAGGTGCATGCTTGTAGTATAAAACAGAAATAAATGTACATAAAGGATCTTAATACAGATTACTTCTTTTTACCAATGGTAATATTCAACTTGGTATTCATCAGTGGGTAGGTTTGAATCCATTCTATTTAACTACTTTCTTTTCTGACTAATTTCATTTCTGCAATACAGTAGATATATTATTAGGAACCAAAAAATGAAACAAAACACTTATAGGTCATTTAATAAAATATTTCTCTTCCAAATATTCTAAAATGGTATTAACACATATTCTATTTAGAACTCTTACTTCCTGTTATTATCTGTTATATTAAAACAATTGAGGTATAAATTTCTAGATAAAAGGGCGTTACTCTAAAATCCCTTTCAAAAGATTGCAGCCTCAGTTGTATACTTCTATTGAATGACCCCAGTGATTGTGCTGCTTCATTGCATTTTACTTCTAACATTTCTGTCCTATGCACAAGATTGAAAAAGATTAAATTTGATTTGTGGCAGTCACTACTTGTTATCTTCAAATAAGTATTTGCAGATTAAACAAAGCATGATTCTAGAAGTAAGCATTATTGAACCTATTTTAGAAAGACTTTTGTAAAATTAACCCATTTTTTACTATCAAACCTATGTTGTAGGAAATAGAATGCCTGTCCCATGTATTTCCAAATGAAGCGTGACTTTAGAATGTGCTCCTCTTTATGCAGGTCCAACTCATCACTTTAGAGCTTTTCAAATCAAGTGCACTGGCACCACATACTTAACTGAATTTCTCGAAGATTTTATGGTTATTATCTAAAATACTGTACTAGCCTATCTATTATTCTTTAAATTATTTTCTCAGATTGTATTTCAGTTTTAGTGATTAAGTTTCTGTTCTGCAAATTAATACAATCTTGGGGATTGCATATATTTTAAACACACATACAGATAACACACACACATTACATTATTAATCTAGAACACATTATTAAATCTAGAACTTACTGACTAGTGTAAGTTTTTCCTCTACCTTTGGGAACCTTGAGCATAATAGCTTTGTTCATTAGATTGTACTATTAACTACAGATAATTAAATATTGCTTTAGAAATTGCTGTAATAAAGTGATTTAGGCTTACCAATTTAAGTCATACAAGCCTTATTAAAATAGTAGTAAAAGTCCATTTATCTCTTAAACAACTTTAAGGACTTTTCAGAAAAACAATAATGTATTTAGTATACTCCCCTATAAAGGAGTTTCTGATTTTTTTTCTCAGCAGTCTAAAATCAGCATAGAGAATTCTGTATATTAATTTCAAGACAGATTTATGTTTCATATTAAATAGAAGATGACATATTTCAACTATTTTGTAGTGGAGAATAAGGCATGGAAATTTATCAGCCTGGGTATTCTATTGCAATCTTTTTTCTAAGTTGAAATGCTTCCAATGACATGCCCAAAAGAACAATTTTTACATGAATTATTCCATATATATGTATGCATGAATATGTGTGTACATATATATGTAATTTCTTTGGTAATTTTTTGGATTTTTAAAAATTTTATTTTTTACTTTTGTAGAAATAGGGTCTTGCTATGTTGTCCAGACTGACCTCAAATTCCTGGTCTCAAGCAGTCCTCCTACCTTGGCCTCCTAAAGTGCTGGGATTACAGGTGTGAGCCACTGCACCCAGGTAACTTTTGGTGCTTTTGCACACTCCTCAGCTTTCCAAGAGGGATTCATGATGGGCATGACACCTCCAAAAAATAGAGTGACTTGGGACAAAGATGGTAAACAATATTTGCTTGTGTTAAGGAGTTCTGCCTCTCTGAGGTGCAAGCATTTTTATAAAACATATAAAAAAGGAAATAATTTTACTTTATAGGATTGATGTGTTAGATTTAAAATCTATGAAATGCCATTCACTATTCATGTCACATGGTAGATGCTCAATGAATGATAGCTTTCACTAATATTACTAATAAGAAAGTAGTTGTTAAATACAGAGATTTTATAGCCAAATTATTTCTCTATTACTTCTTAGTTATTTATCCTTTCCAAGTCAATTAACCTCTCAGAGCTGCAGGGTCCTCTTCTATAAAATAGAGATAAAACTTGCCTCTCAGTAATTAATAAATACAGCATAAAGTGCACAATAAAACTATGAAAAATGTTTCTCCTATTTTCTTGTCTCATAGAAGATGCAGTCTTTAGTTATTGAAGGTTAACCAAGTAATTAGTAGTGTTTTATGCAGAACCAGTTGGAAGGGAGTCTGGAAAGACAACTAAGAAACAGGTAAACATTATACAAGTTACCAGAAATATTACAAATGTTATTACTTCATGCTACTAATAATGCATTTTAGAACTGAAGGAGCTGCACAACTTAGCCAAAATGTAACAGGAGGAGGGAATGTGGAAAGAACTGGATTCTGAGAGTGCTTAGTCAAGATGGGTGGAGATTATGTCAGAAGTCAAGAAAGTTCCTGGTACGGAAGCACCCACCTGTTAGATAGGAGTTCCATCCTACCATGCACCTCGGATGGCTCTTAAAGCTGAGAGAGAGACAACTATGAGTGAGGGAGCAATGTTATTGTATGGCAGGGGGTTGAATAAAGGATCTAGACTGTGGGCTGCAGTGGATGCTATGATATGTTGCCAAACCCCCGCTTAAGACTGAAGCACTCGTTCTGCAGCTGCTGGGAGTGTTGCTGGCTGATTATGTAAGCGAGGCCCACCACCTTGGAATTGAAATCATCCTCCGAAGAATAGAGGGGCCTCATCAAGGTGTGTGGAAAGCAGCCTCTACCCAATGTCTGCTTGATGTGAGTGGTATAAAGATTTCTGCTCTTGTCTTCAAGGTGGGTGAGTTCTGAATGGACACTGGGGTCTGGCATTCCCTGTGGAGTCTGCCGAGGTCCTGGTTGTGACCACATTGCAGTTCAACACCTTCTACCATTTCTACTTTATTCAACTCCCTAGCCGACTTTCTTTTTCCTTTTTGTAAGGTATACATAACATAAAGTTTACATTGTAACAATTTTTACATGTACAGTTTGGTGGCATTAAGTACACTTATACTATTATTTTTCAACCATCACCACAATCCATCTCCAGGTCTTTTTCATTATCCCAAATTGAAATTTGTAACCTTTAAACAATACCTACCCATTCTCCCTACCCTCAGCTCTGGCAACCACCATTTTACTTTGTGTCTTTATATATATAACCCCAAGCCAATTTCCATCTTTTAATATTCATATTTAATATTTAATGATCAACTAAAAGAAATCAAAATCAAATTATTGTATCAAATATATTTCAAAATAAAAAATTTTACCTGGGAATACAAAAATATATATTTTTATGAAGAACCCACAGTTTAGTTAAGAGGTCATAGCATAACAAACATCCAAGAATCTCATTATCTCCCTCCTGTTTTTTTCTTAAACTTTTCTATTGATGCTCACTTGATGTCTCATAATTTTAAGCCAAATAATCTTTTTGCATCTTTCTTTTACAGTCTCTTCATTATTTTGTTGGTGAGTAACACTCTTATAATTCATTTTTCAAAATACTTTCTGATTCTTGCATGCATTTACAGTTACAATTATTTTGCACTCTCATTGATCTGTTTCTTGGCTCCTGTTACAGATTCCCAGGAACCAGTCCTGCTACTTTTATCTGACTGATTCCTGCTTTTCATGACCAGGTATGAAGCACACTCTCTTCCAGTTGTACAGTTGGAAAGACTGAACTCAAAGTCTGAACCACCATGTTCGGAAATACTAACTGTGCAAACTCGAATCAGCTTTTTCCTTCCAACTTTTATTTTAGGTTCAAGGGGTGTATGTGCTGGTTTGTTACATGGGTAAATTGCAGGTCACAGGGGTTTGGTGTACAGATAA